CGCCAAATCGAGATTTTATGGCCATTCTTTTATTGATTTAGTCTACTCTTTATTATATTCCATGTATAATTATATATTTTATCCGTGATAATGCTATGATTTTTTTTTTATGTGATACAAATTTAATACTTAAGTTTATATAGGGAAAGAGCATCTCAATATTCACAAATTGATGAAAAAAATGAAAGTTAATAATGTAGTATCCTCATTTTTTATTGGATTCCTAATAAACAACATTTATAATGAAATTTTAAAAAGATTTCGGATTTTTTTGAAGCTTTAATCCGACCGATTCAGCCGATTCTCGATTCGGATCGCCGATTCGTCGATACGGATCGGTTTTTAAAGTGCCCGATCAGGGTCACCGATCTGCTTTTTAAACCATTGTTATAAGCCCAATGGTTCAGATTGAATATGGGCCGATCTGTCGGATGAGAGTATTTGAATTTTAGTTTTTTTTTCCACAAATTCAAATCATTTAAAATTTTAGGGGAATATTCTTCTCATCATCAAGGCGAACCTATTAAAAATATAAAAAAAAAATAATCTGTAAAATTAAAAATGACCAAAATACCTCGCAAAATTTACAAGGGTATTTTGATCATTTTTTTAATGTAAAATCTTTTTCTTAATATTTTTTCGAATATTCACCTATATTTTATCAACACACGTATAAAATTTCAAGTGATTTGGATTTGTAAAAAAAATTAAAATTCAAATACTATCGGGCATCTGTGATTGTTAGATCGGCCCAGATTCAATCTGGGCCATTGCTCATTTTTTCTTATGAGCCCATTGACTCACAAAAGCATTTTGTATTTAAAAATTAGATGTGCCCCATAATTTGATTATTTAAGGTTGCAACCTTATGCAAACAACGCCCAAATCAAAATACCCCTATCCCCATCTATATCCGAAAGAAAAAAAACAGAACATTTTGAAAAAAAAGAATTTCTATAAGTTATCCAGATTCTCAAACCTTTTAAAATAGTTACCTTGTATGTAATGTGACAGGTCCATTGGATGAGCTGAATTTCTAATTTTAAGTCAGGTAGGCATAATCATTCAATAAGACAGATCATCACATAGATGAATTTATTTTGCAAAGTTATATAGATGCATTCATTTCTCTAACTTGTAGTCGATGTTGTCCAGGAGATAAAATAACTAGCAATTTGACACGATTCGTGGTCATCCTATGGTTATTTGTGGTGCTCATATTAACCAACAGTTACACTGCAAATTTGGCCTCAATTCTCACAGTTGAGCAATTACAACCCACTGTTACAGATGTGCAAACTCTGATAGACAAAGGAGATTATGTGGGACACCAAGGTAGTTATTTTATAGAGGATTTCTTGAAGAAGTTGGGATTTGCAGGGTCAAAGCTTAAGGTATTTGACACTGCTGAAGAGTATGCTGAGGCATTGTCAAAGGGAAGCTCTCATGGAGGGGTTGCTGCAATCTTTGATGAGATTCCTTATATCAAGAGCTTTCTCTTGAACCGCACCAAGGATTTCATGATGGCCGGGCCAACTTACAGGACTGGAGGCTTTGGCTTTGTAATCTCTCTCTCTCTCTCTCTATACAGGCTTCCACCCGATAAATTTTGAACGATAAGGGCTTCCATCGTCTCCTCGGGTATATCCTATAAAATTGGAATGATATAGAGCAGGCTTTTCATCAAAGAAATGAAGTTCTTAAGTGAAAGTTCTTTTTGAGAACCTAATATGCATCAATTTTGTGCACTAAAATCATTTTTTTCCATGAAACAAAACAAAAACCATTCTTCCACTTTTGAACCACCTCTTTTATATGCTGTTATTTGGAAAAGTACTCCGTAAAACTATTTATTTTTGGTATGTGGAGGTTACAGGGACTCTTGTCCATTGGATATGAATTTGAGCGAACATTGGTGTGCTATTCATCAGAATGGAAGTTCAAAAAAAAAAGAACAATTCAAACTATGATACACTCCAAGTTGTGAAATTTGAATTCGGACTTCTACAACTGCCTGACTTCCTTGTATAAAAAATTTCCATTTTTCCTTTTTTTGTTTAGTGACCATTGGGCCTCTATTTTTCAGGTTTTTCCTAAGAACTCCCCATTATTTTCCGACATTTCCTCTGCCGTCCTCAATGTAACAGGAGGGGAGAGAATGGATTTACTGGAGAGAAAATGGTTTCCCCAACGAAACACAAATTCCCCCTCCTCCAAAGGCTTGAACCTAGATAGATTTTGGGGCCTCTTCCTCATTGTTGGAACGGCTTCCATGGGGACTCTAATCATCTTCTTCATGGGCTTTTGCAATGAGCATTGGAACAGAACTGCAACTGAAACAACACCAATGAACAAAGGCTTTTGGCCAAGAATTGTCGCCATGGCTAAACACTATGATGAGACAGATCTTTCTTCGCATACTTTTAGAAGAAAACAAAGGAAAGAGGGAGAAACAGAAGAGAATAGAGACGTTTCTCTTGCCCCATCAGTTACAGAGAACCCTTTGAGCTCCCATGCCAAGACAGAACGCCTCTCCATTGAGGATGGTTCACCACATCATAGTAATTCAGTCTCTGCCGACGGTGATGATGATGATGCACCCATACAAGAAAGGCATGCTCCAACTCCATGATGCTTAGTGTCGTGTTCATTTTTTGGCTCATTGATGAAATGGGTTTTCATATGCATTAGCATTGCAACTCGTCTATGGAATATAGACTACACCAAGATTGCAAACTATTCGACCTGTGGACATATCTACATATTCTCCAAAGCACATTTTTATCTCCTCACGTAATTTTATACGTTTTCCCCATATATTGATTAACTTTACGCAATAATTTCATCATAGAACTTGTATATCTATGTAAAATGTTTCTTTATTCCATTTATTTGATTCTAGTCATTCTAGGCCCTTTACAGCCATCTGCACTGACACATAATGCAGAATGATACTGATACTATGCCAACTCCGTGCCAATATGATATTTGGGTCTCTATTTGGATCCCTGCAAAAGGATTACCTGAAATGATTTCTTAGAGTTTATTTATTTATTTATTTGTTTTCTTATTTTTATTTATTTATTTTTGAGGTATTTTATTGGGGAAGGGGTCTCCTATGCATTGTTGGAATGGAATTCAGTTATTGCAATGGAATTCAAGATGTCAGATTGTAGTGCCCTACCACCTTTACTACTTAGTCTTGAGCCCATTTCAAGGGAGTTCTTCCTTCAAAAGTTAATTTTATAGTATAAACACTTATTGTTTTCTATGGGAGCACTAACCTTGATGGGTTGATATTTGACAAATAAAGTATGAGAAATAAAATATGAAACACACACGATAATATCACAAAGATTTACATGGTTCACCCAAGAGGGCTACATCCACTGGCACAGTAAACATAAATCCACTATAGCAATCAAAATTACATCAAAGATTTTAGAGCAAACCTCGACAAAATTACAAGTCGAGCAAACCCTTTTAAACTTGCCATCCCAAATAGCACCATGCCGATTATCTCATATCAATTCCATAACTAGACCACTCTCTAAGAAGAAAACAACTTTGAGGGCAAATGAAACTCTATTTCATTGAAAGGAGAACTATCCAAAATCTCAATAGGAACCACAATGTTTCTGTCCAAATGAAGTTTTCTTTTTTTCTAAGAGGAAATTGCATCTTATGCATAGGAGGCTCTACCTCCCTCTATCTCCAAATGAACCACCATTCTCATATGGTGACCCAAATAGGACACACAAAACTTATGTACACTTTTATCCCATATATAATTAGGAATCCACACAAAATAGAAAACTTGCTATTGATATAACATATATCTCAAAAGATCAAGGGATAAATTAGATAGTCCTAATCTTTTTGGATTTTGAATAGTATCAATCCAACACTTATGACCCTTCTCCTTCCCGCTCTATGCCTTGAGAGAATCGATAATGATTCCTTACCCCAATTGCTGGCCCTAAATCTATGTGTACCAACTCCTAATCGAGTCCTTTCGGATTCATAAGTAAAAATATTATGGGAAAGGCTTCTATGCTTCCCCTAAAACATAAATGATATATACTTCCCCCTCATCCAGCCGTCCAATTTAGATCAAGTGAGCCACTAACCATTTAATTTAGATCCGACGCCTTAAAGTGTTTTATTTTTAATTGTTTTTCTCTTAACTATATGAATATGAAACTTGGTATGTGCCATCATCACTTAAGTGGGGAGCACCTAAATAAAATGCTAACAAATATTTTTGATAAAATAAAATGACCAAAATACCCTTGAAACTTTTAC